CGTACCGTGATCCGCGGTCCCTCCTCGCCTCTGACGGTGGCACCCGCGGTGTTGACATTGTAATAGCCGGCAGAACTTCCATTAGTGCCTGCGATATTGTCGATTTTTCTTCTTTTGCCGCCGCCAACGGTGCTTGTCGTATCTTTTTCATAACTACTCAGATTTCCATATTTATCATTATACCAGTCCCTTTCCCTGTCCCTGCCGGCAGCTGCATTGGTAGTGTGTGCGTCACGGTCGCGCTGTTCTCTTGAAGGATAACCGCCATGACCGTTTCCGTTTCCAGCCATACGCTTTATACCTGATATTGCGTAAGGGCTATCATCGTTTTTGCGCTTCGCGGACGCTCGGGGAGGCATAGTCGGAAATTGGCTAAGCGTTGGATGTGGAACAACGAGGATAGTCTTCGAGCTCAGAAAAGTAAAATAAGTGTCCCAAAGTGTCGTATGTGTCGTGTTACTCTTTGTTTGCTCAGTTAAGGAGCAGATATCGTGTGGGGGCCGTCGCGTGGTGCAGCGGTGTTATATGTAGAGTTTCGTTGCTCGCGTTGAAGTTAATCTTCCGGGGTCAATCGTTAGCACTCAAAATAGATGGCTGAATGGTGTCAACACACCAATTATCGTGTTCTAGTGATATCAGGTGCACCGTAGGGGAGAGTCGAGTGTAAAGTACAAAGCAAGCAAAAGCCGGATATCAGTCTAACCAGACGCCACACAAACGCAAAATCCACCGAGATTTATTGTTTCCAAAATCATTAGCAACCAATTTATATTCAACTCCGACGACTTTCTGCAGCTTATTCCTAGCTGTGTGCTGGGACGTCAATAAACGCCCACCTTTTGATCTTGATTCCTTACCAGCCGAAGCGACTTTCAAGCTCGCCTAGGGAGGTATCATAATGAGTTCTATCGCATCTCGTAGACTCGCTAAAGAGCTTAGGGACCTCCAAGTGAATGGGTGTCCCGTCGGTATCGAACTCTTGGAAGTGGACGATAAGTGGGTGATGGGCATCGAGGTCCTCGGCGATACACTCTACTCTGCAAGTGTTCCATTTCTTTCACTTTGATTTCTTTGTGCTGCTAGGCAGCAGGCTCACACCGTGTTCTCATGGAGGCTCGAACTAACGCGCCTCCCTTGTCCAGGGCGAGAAATTCGCACTCATGTTTCGATTCGAGGCCCAGTATCCAATAGCATCTCCTATTGTGACATTCGTTCCAGGATACAGACCGCCAGCAAACACTCAAAGCTCGTTCGATCCCAACATGACATACTCTGTTCCAATTCATCCCCACGTCTACTCCAACGGCCATATATGTGCCTCCATTCTGGGCAACGAGTGGTCACCCGTCTTGACTGTGGCAACTGTCTGTTTGACTTTGCAAAGTATGCTAGCTAGCTGCAAAAAGAAGGAAAGACCGAATGATAATGACCGTTATGTGAGGAATGCGCCAGATAATCCCAAGAAGGTTAGTCCCCTCTCGATACGTGACCTACAAGACTGATGATATTTCTCCATCATCAACGCTCTCTCTCTCTCATTCCCATCTTTAAAGCAGCTTTGAAGCGCTTTCATCACTATCTCTCATTCATTCACACCACGACCAACTCAACGGTTCTTCCACATTCTCTGCGCTCAGCTCGCTTACTTCAATAAAGATGCAATTCTCACTCGCTACAATCCTCGCTGTTCTTCCTCTTTTGGCTGCCGCCTCTCCCATCGCGCAACAACCGCGTGTCACTATTCCCTTGTCCAAACGCTCCAATGTCCGCCGTGCTGACGGCTCAGTCGACATTGAAGTGATGAAACTTCAAGTCGCCCATTCTACCGGCAAGATCCTCCGCGGATTTGACACCTATGCCCGCAACAAGGGCCAACGCCACTCCTTGGCTCCTCCCACTTCTCAGAAGCGTGAAGTCGGACACGACGAGCTCGTTGACGAATCCAGCCAACTCTGGCAAGGTGTGTATCCTCTACAATAAGTATATTCTCGTTCATGGCTAACCCACTTTGTCATCTAGGCAAGATCTCTGTTGGAACTCCTCCTGTCGAATACACTGTCGACTTTGACACAGGAAGCAGCGACCTCTTCCTCCCCGCCAAAGACTGTGACCAGACCTGCAAGGGCCACACTCCCTACGACACCTCCGCCTCCTCCACCTCAAAGGCGCTCAACAAGTCCTTCACTCTCAAATACGGAGACGGCTCCAACGTCTCTGGCAAGCAATTCACCGACACCGTCGAGATCGCCGGGCTCAAGGCTACCAAGCAGACCCTCGGTGCTGCTACGACGTACAGCGATGGATTCGGGAGCTCCAACTTCCCTGCTGATGGCCTTATGGGTATGGGATTCCAGAGCATCAGTGAATACAATGCTCCTCCCGTCTTCCAATCCTTTGTCAGCCAGGGCCAGACTTCTGACCCCGTCTTTGCCATGAAGTTGACCGAACAAGGCTCCGAGCTCACCCTTGGTGGTTTAGCTGATACCCTCTACAAGGGTGATATCACCTACGTCCCAGTCACTCAAGAGGGTTACTGGCAAGTCAACTTTGACTCTTTGAACGTTGGTGGCAAGGCTGTCGTTCAATCCACTCCTTGCATCGTCGACTCTGTACGTCTTAGCGTCCTTTTTTTCGATAAATCTGTTTTCTAACATTCTTCTCTTACAGGGAACTACTCTCGTCATTGGTGACACCCAGAGCGTCGCCGATTTTTACTCCAAGATCTCCGAGGCCAAGGCCGACTCCACTCTCGGCGACGGATTCTACTCCTTCCCTTGCAGCGCTCAGCTCCCCGAAGTCTCTTTCACCCTCGGTGGCAAGGAGTTCCCCATGACCAAGACCCTCAACTTTGGTCCCGTCCAGGAAGGTTCTGACACCTGCGTCGGTAGCATCATCGGTAACGCCGATATTGGCAGCCAATTCTGGATCTTGGGTGATGCTTTCATGACCAACTACTACACCGTCTTTGATGTCGGAAACTCCCAAGTCGGCTTTGCTGAGCTCAAGTAAGAGCCCATTATTGGTGACGAACTAGGCCAGCCAAAAATATTCTATTCTTTTCCTCCCCCCTCCCCCCTTCCCTTGTAGCAAAAAAGAGCGAGATACCCACCCTTTGAGAGGTCTTGATCCCACCCACCGCACATCGAGTACGATGTCTTGCGAAGTCATTCTTTCACGTCTGTTTTACGACCGTAGCAATCTGCTCACGCTCCTTGTCCCAACTTTTGCATTCTTTCCATCATTTGTTTATCATCACCTGCGCTGTGTATTTAGCTACGAGTTGTCGTGTGACCGGAATGATTGACGACTTCGACAGTCCCTTTTAACATCATATTTCTCTGCGAGTGTCCTTTGAGCTATTTTTAGAAAATGATTATCAGAAAGAAGCGTCGCCCAAAAAAGAAGAGGAACGAGCGAAGCGCAACTGCTCCCTTCGTTCGCCCTTGAACCTGACCAGAACCATGTCTTTGCATGTGGAACGAGAAGTGACGCCGTTATCAACATCATTTCAATTATCATGACGCCCATACCAGAGTGGGCCATACGGTACCATGTTCAATCCGAAACCCATGCTCAGTGGCCGGTAGGATGGGTAACCACCTCACCGAGTATGTCGCATTAGTGAGCGCTTTTGCGCCGCGATTGAACCCATCACTCACATGTGTTTATAATAGGTGCTATTTTTAGGCGTCGCAACGGTTTAGAGTGTTTAGACTTTGACGTTACGGGCTATCGAACCAGATTGGCCAAGGCTCAACCGGCCTGACGAGTCCTTACCAACAGTTTGAATACACTCGTCATTGTCTGCATTTTATTTTTCATTTTGGCGGTAGAGACGGTCGGGTCACGGTATCAGAGCCCTTGCGACGAAGCGACCACCGTGCATAGTGCCAGATGGTCACTCGTAGCCCAAATTTAGCTCCTCTACTCGTTTATGCCACTCTTCAAGATGTGAATATCGAGATATAAAGCGAAATATGTCAACAGAACCTTCTATGAGCTATTGTTAGCTCGTCATCGTATGGTTTGCGCTCTTCGCCTTGGTTGGACATATTGAACCCATGTGCGCCGACTTCCCAGGGATGCCGGTGCGACTGAATTCAACAATTCACTACGGAGGCATTTTACTCCTGTTCTCCTCGTCCATTGCTTGAGCCGTTTCCTTTTTCGGGACGGTCCTATACGGCACAATGCATGTGGAACGTTGAGGACACTACCGGCCGTGACCATGCGCTAACGTATGCAAGATAATCCTGCTCACCCAAACAAGTAACGACCGCCGCAGCTCCTCTCCCTATAAAAGGAGGAGAGAATCCACCTCCGAAGAGAAATCCTCACTTTAACGTCCATCTTTCAGCGGCTTCGACGCTCACCACACCCTCCTTTTCTGCTTTGCTGTTAAAGCGATCGCGACGGTTAACTAGCTCAGCCTTGCTTTGAACAAGATGCATTTCTCTCTCGCCACGATCCTTGCTATTGTCCCTCTTTTGGCCTCTGCCTCCCCACTTGCGCAACAACCGCGCGTCACGATCCCTCTTCAGAAGAAATCTAACGTATACCGAAGCGATGGCTCCGTCGACATTGATGTTCTCAACGGCCAAATCGCCGCCTCCACTGGGTGAGATTATCATCACCGTGTTTCTTCCAATTGCTAACGAGGTACTCTCTAGTAAAATCCTCCGCGGATTTGATAGATACCAACGAAATACTGGCTCCCGCCATGCTTTGCAACCTGATGCCTCCAACAACCGGCGCGCTGTTGGCAAAGACGCTCTGACCGATGAGTCTGAGCAGCTCTGGCAAGGTTAGTACCTTTGGTATTCCTATACAAATTCCACTGAGCAATGATTATAGGCACCATCTCGGTTGGCACCCCGGCTGTGACCTACACCGTCGATTTTGATACCGGCAGCAGTGATCTTTTCCTCCCGGCTTCCTCGTGCGGCTCTACCTGCAGCGGCCACACCAAATACAACCCCTCCTCCTCTTCCACATCTAAGGCACTGAGCAAGTCCTTCTCCCTCTCCTATGGTGACGGATCCACTGTCTCAGGCAAACAATACACCGACACGGTCAAGATTGCTGGGCTCACGGCGACCAAGCAAACCCTCGGTGCTGCCACGCAATACAGCTCGGGCTTTGAGAGCACCAACTTCCCGGCTGATGGCCTTATGGGTATGGGCTTCCAGAGCATCAGCGACTACAATGCCCCTCCCGTCTTCCAGTCTCTTGTCAGCCAGGGCCAGACCTCTAGCAAGGTCTTTGCCTTCAAGCTCGCCGCATCTGGGAGTGAGTTGACTCTCGGAGGCTTGAACTCTGCTCTGTACTCGGGCACCCCTGTCTATACTCCAGTCACTCAGGAAGGCTATTGGCAAATCAACTTTGACTCTCTCAAAGTCGGAGGTACCTCTGTCTTGGGATCCACGTCGGCCATTGTTGACTCTGTACGTACTCATCTCTAATACCCTGCCTTTACTGATTACAGTCTCCATAGGGAACAACTCTGATCATTGGTGACACCGCCGGTGTTAAGGCGTTCTACAAGAAGATCCCTGGATCCAAAGATGCCTCCTCCACCTTGGGCGACGGCATCTACACCTTCCCTTGCAGCACCACTATTCCTAGTGTCAGCTTTACCATTAATGGCAAGGCCCTCTCTGTTGCTTCGTCTGCTCTCAACTTTGGTCCCGTGTCAGAAGGCTCGACCACTTGCGTTGGGGGTATCGCTGCCTCTGATAGCATCGGAAGCCAGTTCTGGATCCTTGGAGACGTGTTTATGAGGAACTACTATACCATTTTCGACCTTGGAAACAGCCAAGTTGGCTTCGCTACCCTCAAGTAAACGGATCGACGTGATGCATTTTTGACAAATTTGGCATTTGGAATGTCCTATTTCATTTTCATTTTCAGCTCAAGAAGCTCTCATTTTTCGTCGATTCTTGTATTTACGTGGATTAGAACGATGCAAAGAAGCTTATAAAGTCACTCATGTGATCGTGAGCATGGAGGGGTGTTAAATTCAGACATAATTTTCCCAGATAATGATGACAGGTATTCCGCATACGGAAAGGAGACTAGCTAGTTGTTGTCTGAGAAGAGGACCAAAAGAGGCTACATAAAAGTGACAGAGAGCAAGTGGAGATTGTGTACGAAGTAAATGGATATATGAGAGATCATGATAATGACATGATACAATCGGTTTGAGATGGAGTAGAAGGAAATAAGTGGAGATCGCATTTCATCATGACGGATTAAGTTGAATGGTGTAACGTGTCATAGGGTACTAGCGATGAAGAAATAAGCTAGAAGAGGATGTCCCTATCCTCTTGTAAGGGAGGGCTCTTCCATTCGTTTTGAATGGGACCCATCGATGCTATATGGTCAAACGGATGGCTAATTCTGTAATACAATCCGTCAGTCTCGGAGTTTGAAAGTAATGGAAATCAAGGAACTTGCCTTTCGCGCGCAGGGCGATCATGAAATCCTCAATCACTTCTCGTTCGTTTATCCTGGCCGGGGCGCTTGTATATGTTGGTCCGTATCCTAGATTATTTGAATCCCAATGGGCCTGGGCTATTCGGATAAGTGCCATTCTCGCTTCTTCAATGTCATACAAGGCCGTGGTGTCATTTGCAACGGGAGGACCTAGAGAAGTGGACGATAGGCCGAGTGCGGAAGTATTGTTATGATATTGGCCATTTGCAGTTATGCCGTTAGGGCCTACGCTCTTCCTCATGTCATCTTCCCAGTATTTCCCTTGGCCTTGAGCTCTGGAACGACTTTGACTTCCCGGAGGCTTCAAGAGGGCAGTGGTTGGCGAGCTAGGATGTTGCGCGGACAATGGAGAAGGCTGAACCACTGGAGCCAAGTTATATGTTTGCAAATATTTCAGGATCGTCGAGGTCGACAGGGACCCGAGATCAAACTATTGAATATGTAAATAAATAGATCTTTCTAGTGTTGTCAAAGTGCCAGAATGCGTACCGTGATCCGCGGTCCCTCCTCGCCTCTGACGGTGGCACCCGCGGTGTTGACATTGTAATAGCCGGCAGAACT